TTTTTTTAATTCTATAAAACAAAAAACACATATATACATACATAAATCGGAGATTTAAACTTCGTACAAAAGTAAAAAAAACAAGTAGATAATTTTTAAGCAAAAAACAAAACCGACTTCAACTCTCATATATAAATATATTTCATGATCCCATGATTGGATCTAAACCAGTATGGAAGTATGAGAATTATCGAAATCGATTGACATGGTCCAAAATTATGCGGTCACAGACACAAAAAAAAAACATAAAAAATAATCCGACGAACTGATAAACTCAAAGTTTAGCTTTTTTTACTCCGAATTTTTAGAAAGTTTTTTGGCAACCCATTCAGTTCTAAATTGAATGCAAGCTAGAAGGCGCTACAACGATGATTTTAGGAATTTTTTTTGTTGTCGATGTCAATAATTTTCTTCCATACGAAGTATGTTTGCTAATTTTCTTATAGGAAGGAAAATGCACCATGCAGTTATGATAAGCACTATACATAGATATATGAATGTGTTGAGATTTCCACTACTTTGTTATTTGGTATGTATGTATCTTAATTTCAAACTGATACTTGAATTTGATCCTCGTCATCAGACTGCACCTGTGAGCTGTTTCCTGATCGACCAGGTGGGCTTCCTGGATTTAGAGTGGGGCTGGGAGAGCGAGCCAGGTCAATATGTCTTAGAGGTGATTTTTGCGTGGGAGAATTTGACGAGCACCTCCGATCTATCGTCGCATTATTTTGAGATACAGGTGATGGTACTGTTGCCGTGACGGACAATGGTGGTGAAGCGATTGGCTTGTCGACAGGAATACAACTAGATGCAGATGTACCAGCTACCGCAGCCACTGCTGCCGCCGATGCGCTCTGGTAGTAGCTGCTTAATGAAGATAACGAACTGGAAGCGGAGAGATGCGAAAACGGTGCTGTAGCAGAAACGGGCAGTCCAGAAAGTGATCCTACGTTAGGAACTCCGGCGTACAAATTGTAGGGAAGAGGTTTTTGCATTGCGGCTGCGGCTGCTGCTTGGCGATAGTACAAATCAATACTCGACGGCGTAGGGGCACCATGTGGCGCCTGTGAACCTGGATAAGACCATGCGCCCAAATAAGGGGTTCCCCCATAGAGTCGCTGAAAAGCTGCAAAGTTTCCTGCTTCAGCCAGCAGTTCCAAACCAACCGCAGTCTGTCGTTTCCATTTTGTACTGAAATGAAGAAATACACAAATGAACAATATACATATACATATATATACTATATATATATACATGTTGATAAATGGATACCTAATGCAAAAAATAAGATAAAATTACAAATAATTTTTGTTTCATTTTAAAGATTATGTGGGCCTTTACAATGCCAGTTTGGAGTTGAGAGTACTTTTTTGAATTGTTCATTCGCATTTATAATGACGCAAATAAAAGGTCTCCGACCTTCGAAGGAAAGTAAAACATCACTTCTAGTTGATAAGAAAATAACATTTCAAAAGAAGAAGCAACCTCAAATCAACTCTGTACACGAATCTAAAGTCCCTTTTTTCCTCATCAGGATTTTTCCTAACCTAAAAATCGTGCCTGTTACATAACATCCGCCCTATTTTTTGAGGCTCGGGATGAACTCAGGTCCGTTAGACCGATTCTGATGCCGGATACATAGGACTGAATATTAAAAATAAATATAACTATCGCAGTAGAAAGACACGGCATGACCCCCTAACTTTTGAGAGCAAATAAAATAGAATAAGAATATTATGTTGCGAAAATGCTGGTGTACAGTGAAATTAAAACTGGCAACGGAAAATGACCCAATTTGACAAGGGATGACGGAAATTTGTCCGAAATAAATTATAGTCCTACTTTATCGGAAATTCCACCAATATCAAGAAATAATTAAAACTAATTTTGTAAATGGAATTTTAAGCGCTTAGATAAGCAATAACACATTCATATTTAGGGATGATCTCTGTAGGGAAACCGCGGACTAGTGAATCAAATTTCTAGTTCCGTACTAGGCCTTTATCGCCAAAAAGGAACTAGTCTGATAGGAACTAGATCCCCACCAGTCAAAAATCGGCGAAGAGTGGTACTTTTAAAAAACTAATTTTTTCAGTTTTTTTTTTCACTAGAAATCTATATCTAAAGTGACGAATTTAGAACTAGTTCGGAACTATCGAATAAGGGATGCAGCGGGGGGCTTGTTTACTTTACATAGATAAGTGTTCAGGCAGCTTTTTCGTTGAAATACGCTTCTATTCTGTGCTTCGCAGATGCATTTTCATAGCTTGGTAATACAAAACTAAAATTTGTGTTAACATTTCAACATTTTGGCACCGTCTGGAATCTAAGAAATAACAGCGAGCACCTCTGCAAACTCAGCTACAGCTCAAGGTATGTAAATGTACATTTCTTAAAATCATTCAAACAAATTTAATTTCAAATTGAAAACACGTTTCTTTGAAAATAATGTAAAATCGCACACGGAAGAACCGAAAAGATTGAAAAATCATGATACCTTTTTCTTTCGTCTGTCGATTTTAGAACTGGTTCGGAACTATAGAATTTAGGACTAGGTCGGAACTATCGAAAAAGGGATGCAGCGGGGGGCAATTGACTCTTCCTAGGACATCGCCATGTTAAATTCGCCAGTTGCTTGCATGCAAAAGAGATTTATCGCGAACCAGTACTGGGTCTAAATGTACTAGGAGCGCACCAGTTCAGAATTAGAGATTTTCCCCACAGGGATTGCAAATATGTTCCGTTAATGTTTTTTATTCAGTTTATTTCAAGGATTGACAAATTACAATGTACAGTCAAGTGTTACATACATACATACGTATGTACATACAGTTATGTGACTGGATAGAATTTAAAGTTAGATATTTTCAGTGGTTTTAGTGCATCGATGTAGTTATCACTTTTTACTGTTACTACTAAAAATAATGCGGTTTATATCACACAAAGATACGAATCCTTCATTTATTTTCAAAAGTGAATTGCATATAAATATTCAATTGTTATCTTCAATAATGACAATACGTTTCCGTTTCCCAGCAGGAATGCAAGTGACAATAGAAAATCAAATCATTTTTATGTTATTATTTGTAAACATTTCTTTGGTTCGACGAAAATATCGGAATCTTCATGGCTAGAAATTGGGAAATAGCCAAGAATCCAGGGATAATCGTAACGGTAGAAATCCTTTTTGAAGTTTTAAGCATGGTGCGCTCAAGAAATGTTCAAGAAAAATGTATTAAGCCGAATTTTCTTAAGCAGTAAAGAGTTCTAGAAATTTGCTACGCTGTCTACTACGGTTTTCTAAAGTTTTTTGTGAACAAAGAGCACAAGGTAACCCAATGTTTTCAACAGAAATATATTTTCGTTCCATTATTTTGTGATGAAAGAGTGAGGCAGCAGGCTGTGAAATATCAGATGCCAAAATTCAATGGACGCTACTATTCACACAAATGAAATAATGGCAACTTTTTTCTTGACCGGTTTTTTAATAGAAAAGCTTTAGCTTCATACCCGTACATTAAAATATGCATCAAACTAAGCAATTTCAATAAAAAGTTGAAAATACTGTGGTGAATACTGCGACGTATATCTACGGTGACCATATTAACCAAAGTAAAATAAAGGACATTTTTTTTTAATGATCTGGGAATACGTGCATACAACTTGTATGATAAAAGTACCTTACCAATATCGTAATTTAAATCACCAGTTAATTATATTATTTATTTGTACAAGTTCCGCTGTAGCGAAAAATTAAATAAATTAAAAATTAATTTATTAATTATTAACCAGTTAATTATATTATTTAATTGTACAAGTTCTCCTGCTGTAGCCAACAATTAAGCCAAATTCTTTCCAAGGTAAAAACCGAAAAAAATATTTATTTTGGTGAACATTTTTTATAACATTTCAAATTTATTTTTGGGTATTTTTTTTCGTTTTGTTAGAACCATGCAAAACCGAAATGCTGCTTATGTATAGATGCTGAAAGTAACGATGTAAAACACATGCCGGGTTCTGGCAAGTGCCCGATGTCTAAACGGAATAACCAAACATGAAGATACTCCAAGCTAACATGCATAGGAGCAAGACAGCAGATGTACTTATAGAGCAACTTATCGTTGAAAAGGAAGTACATGCAGTGATAATCAGTGAACAATATGGACACACAATTCACGATGGTGTGGTCGAAGACGAGTCAGGAACTGCCGCGAACAGGAAGCGAAGAATACTCACTCGAGCTAGGCGATTAGAATCGACGACCACGGAATCTAAAGACTAAAAACAGAGCAGAAAAGCCCTAAAACAGGCAATAAGCAGTAGTAAAAAGAAAAAATGGGAATAACTCAGAGACGACCTAAATAACAACCCCTGGGGTCTGGGTTATAGAATTGTGATGAAAAAGCTGGGGGCAAAGTTACCTGCGACTGAAATAACATGCGATGCGCAAGGTAGTGGACACCCTGTTTCCTACGTATGAGCCTCTGTTAGAAGTGTCTGAACATCTAACAGCCGAATCTGCCCCACCTTTCACCGCAGAATATCTAGCACTGGTAGCAAATGGGCTAAAAAACAATAAAGCGCCGGGACCTGACGGAATATCTGCGGAGGTGGTAAAAGCTTTGGCGACTGAACGACCGAATACATTGCTTAGCATGTACAACGCCTGTCTGAAAGAAGGAGTCTCCCGAAGTCTGGAAGAAGCAGAGGTTAATGCTGATTAGTAAAGACAAGGGGGACCCGTCCATTGCTTCTGCATACAGGCCATTTTGTATGCGTGATAGCGCAGGAAAACTTTTCGAAAATATGATCAAATTTCGACTTACTGAGGCGATAGAAAACAACGGCGGCCTGTCTGACAGACAGCACGGTTTTAGAGCCGGCATGTCAACATTAGGAGCCATTGAAGATGTGATGGAGAGTGTAGAAATCGCTCAACGTGGTAACTAGCACTCGAGGAAGATAGTGTTACTTGCAACCCTGGACATCCGAAATGCTTTTAACAGTCTCACATGGGCCGACATAATAAATGTATTGGAAACAAGGTTTTTAATCCCGAACTACCTAGGGAAGATAATTCGGAGTTACCTAAGCAACCGACGGCTTATATACGAAATAAGTGGTGGTCAAAAACCAAACCAAATATCTTCGGTGGCGGCCCAAGGTTCCATTCTCGGTCCAGACCTCTGGAATATAAGCTACGACGAAATATTGCGTATAGAGATGCTTGACGACGTTCATCTTGTTGGCTACGCAGACGACATTGCTGCTATAATAAACGCTCGTAATACCGAAGAGTCAAAAAGAAAGCTGAACAAAGTGATGATCAGAGTACAAGCATGGCTTGAGGACCATGGTCTGAAACTCGCTACAGAAAAGACAGAGCTGATCCTTCTGACAAAAAGGCACATACCGTTAGAGGTCGACATGCAAGTCCTTGACACAACGCTGACGACAAAAATGGTGGTGAAGTACTTAGGTGTACAACTAGACTCTCGTCTAACATTTTGGGCGCATATAAAAAACGGCGCGACAAAAGCTGCGCGAGTAACGGGAATGCTAAGCAAACTTATGGCAAATATTGGAGGTCCAAGACAAAGCAAGCGTAGACTGCTGATGGAAACGACGAACTCGATCCTTTTATACAGAAGCGAACTCTGGGCAGACACAGTAAAGTCGAAAGGTCGCCGAAATGTGCTAAATTCTATGCAGCGCACCTGCGCACTCAGAGTAGCATCCTCATACCGAACGGTGTCTGGAGCAGCAGTCCTTGTTATAAGCGTAACCATCGACATTCTTTTCAAAATTTTGATTGTTTGTTTGTATAAAAAAGACTCATTCCTGAGTGGCTTAAATTATTTCAAAAAAAAAGAAAACTGTATTGCGGCCGCTGTGGTGTAGTGGTAAGCAGTGCGTGCTTCAACTCCGCAAAGACTGGGTTCAAGCCCTGGTCAAAGCAACATCGCAAACAAATTTAGAAAAAAGGTTTGTTCTTAACAGCGGTCGCCCCTCGGCAGGCAACGGCAAACCTACGAGTGTATTTCTGCCATGAAAAACAGCTTCTCATAAAAATACAATCGCCGTTCGGAGTCGGCGTAAAACTGTAATTCTCTACGCGTTGTGTGACAATATCAAGGCGCACGCCACAAATCGGAGGAGAAGCTCGGCCAAATACTAACATATGCGTAAGCGCCAATCTATTATTATAATTATTAATGTAATATTGAATGGTCGAGTTCCAATGTGAATGTAAATTATCGTTGAATGAAAACGCTTATTATCATTCAGTACTACACTGAGAAAATACATATGCTATGACACTAGAAGAAAATCTTGCCAGTAGAAAATAGTCTTTTTGCTTCTGCCTTTGTACTCCTGCTAAAATTTGCTACCTAAGACAAAAAGTGCGTAACAGCTTTATATATACAGTCCATACTTTTTAAAGCCAACTGTATATTTTTTAAGAAAAATTGCAGTAAAGTTTATATAAGATTTTATTTTTTTTTTGTACAAAACGACTTTTTTATTTCCCAATACTAGGCGCTCATAGATATCAAGTAGCAAACTTTCTATGCGCATAAATTTGTTTGTAAAGCTTTTTATTTTTCTTTGTATAAGCCTGTGAACTTCAGAAAGTAGAATTTCGGAAATTTAAAAACATGTACACTGCCGGAACAAAGTATTGGCACAGCAAATTTTTCACAATATATGCAACAATTTTCATTCTAATATTTTTCTGCTAAAAATATGGTTCATTCTACAACAAAAAACATAGAAAATATAATTCCTAAACTTTGTGCAAAACTCGCGAAAATTCAGCAAATTTTCATAAAAAATTTTCAACTTTTTAATCAGATTTTTTAGAATTTTTTTTGAGTATGCAGATTTGTAGCCCAATCAATTTTATTATAACAAAGTGAATGTATTTGCATTGTTTAACTTACCGACGATTTTGATACCAAGTTTTAACTTGGCAGTCACTTAGATCAAGCTTGTGTGCGAGTTCCTGTCGCTCTTGCACACTTAAATATTTTTGCCTTTCAAACGATTTTTCAAGGGTTTGCAATTGGTGATCCGTGAAAGCGGTGCGTGCTTTGCGTTGCTTTTTACTCAAACTATGAGCTTCATTGATGGATCCACTCTTGATGCTACTGCCATCCTCGTCTTTAGCGCCTAAAAAAAAAGTTTAATTAAGAATTATTAAATTTATTGCCTATCTTTAGAATACAAATATCGACACTGTAAACCTGCATCTTTATAATAAATCAATATACTTCTAACTAGGGCTAGGAATCTCATGCATGTTTATAAAAAAAATTGCTTATAATTTTTTCCCAATTATGGATTTGAACCAGTGTCAATGTTTCTATTTAAACAAGATTGTAACTGGCTTGATTATAAACTAATTTTATACTTACATACTACATACGTAAATATGTATTGTAATTTGATATGAACCCAATCGTAATTTTTGTTAAAATACATGTTGTATTTACATATATATATTTATACCGGCAATAAGATATTTATTAGGAAAATATTTTTAATTGGATAATTTCCATTTTTGAGTGCATGAGATTCCTAGCCCTATTCATAACTATTGAAAGCCTCATACAGTATAGCCCATACCTACTAAAATAAAATAAAATAAACTAGTTGAATAAACTTTATAAAGTAGAGAATTTTAGTTGATGAAAAAAATATTAGTAACTTTTCATGTGCTCTGTTGCCATGTTGTTTTCTTTCACACGTCTAAACGCGACGGTGGAACGTTCAACTTTCGCTGCGCGCGCAAGATAATTTCTTACATATTTTGTTGTTAAATCATTAGCAATTTTAAGAAAATTTGTGTACACGCTTTGTTTGAGTAACCAGTTATCTATACTCCAAACAAATGATCAGTTTAATAGCAACAGATTTGAAGGACTTGTTGTATTTCGCCTCCAATCTATTAATTTAAGTGTCCTTTTTTGGCGAATTCGTAGCTCTTGCGCATTAGTGCGAACCTAAGAAGACGAAAGAATCGAATGCAGGCAAATTAATTAAAAATTAGCCTTTCATCGTGGCTGTGCGTATCTTAGTTAGCCATTAATGTTGAAGGCAAATGAATCTTGTCCTCTCTTTAAAAAAATAAAATTGTCTTTTTTTTTGGTTTGTGAGACCTCGGAAATACATATGTGTATGAAATGTCGTAGAGATTGCTAAATCAGTTACTGATATACGCTTAACATGTGCACATCTCTCTCCATAATCTTATTAAGATATACGTTTTATCAAAAGTTGTGTTTTCGTATTCTCCAGCAAAAAATATCCCTTGCCCGTAACCAAATTTCGGAGAGCAAGCCAATATTTACTCTCAATCAGTGAAATATGCAATAAAGTACGAAAACGCAAAACCAGCAAGAAGTTGCAAGTTTTATGAACAGCTGATTAATTTGTTATTTTCCGATGTAATTTTCTTAGAAAACCAGTATTTTCCATCATATTATATATTTAAATAGGTTTATTTTGTCAATTGCAACTATAAAAGCACCACAAACAATTATTATGTGAATTACATTCAGATGGCATCATGCCATCAGCTGTTTTTCTTACTAGCAAATAGTTGCTAGTAAAAATTTATCCAGTAAAACTTGCAAGTTCAGCTGTCATTTTTGCTCTCTCAATTTCCCCTCTTTTGCTAGTTTCTTGCATACGAAAACGACATCCAGTAAAAAACCAGTAAAATTAGTACTGGATTTACTGGATAGTGGGTACGCGAACAGGGCTATAAATAAGCAGAGCCGCGCCCATTTTTCCCAGTTTTTTTTTTATTTGGTTTTGTGCTAAAAGATTACTCCGTATGCCAATTTTGAGCAATGCAGCTTCAGCGATTAGTTGCATTCGCGTATTGATAACTATAGGGGAAATTTAAAGACCAAACTGGCATTTCGTTTCGTTGAGAAGCTGCCATTTTCTGCTGGAAAAAATTTTGCTCTCAGCAATTTGCCAGCAAGAAAAACAGCTGATCAAAGTCATCTCACTGCAACCTATGAAAAAAATTAAATGTATTTTGATGGTTTTTAAATTTAAAATAACTTATTAGGTCTGCAAATGTTTCGGTAGAAAGCGCATACTCCTTTACTTACTTTTGCTTAGCAAATTGCTTTAGGAAAACTTTAATTTATATTATTTTCATGTTTTCCATTTTATGTTTTGGTATGTAAATGAAATTTCGATCAGCTGTACTAAAAACTTGCAAGTTTTTGCTAGTTTTGCGTTCGCGGACTTATGCGAACATTTCTCTACTTGAGAGAGAATAGATAAAACTTCATTTGTATTTTGCTGTTTAGAGTTTTCTGCTGTAAGAATACGTGAATAGACCTAATTGCTGAAAGTTATCAAAAACTATCAGGTTTTTGTGTTCGCGTACGCAAGAAACTGGCAAAGAAGGGGAAATTGAGAGAGCAAAACGACATTTCATTTTGAGGGGAAGCTGCTGGTTTCTACTGGAAAATGTTTGCCAATAAGAAAATAGCTAATCAAAACCAGCTGGTTGGAATTTCCGCAAATCACTAAATACAATTTGATGGTTGGGAAGTTAAAAATAATAAAATGCGACTAATTAAACTTGCGAAAATTCAGTAATAATTCGTTTAGTCAGTAAAAGGCCTGGGGATTTGTTTTCTTACTTTTTCAATTTTACACTTTTGAATAAAAAAAATTCTATCAGCTGTTCGTCTAACTTGCAAGTTTCTGCAAATTGTCTGTTCGCGTAAAAAAAGCAACCCTACTCTACGCTGCGAGATTTAATTCATTACAGCTATGACCATGACATGGTTATTTTCGTTTTGTTTCGACTGCGTACTAGTTCCATCAATAACTTGATTTATTTTGATTTATAAAATATATGTATGTATTTTATTGACCATGTGTCCCATTTAAAATAAACGACGGTTAATTTGGCGTGACAAACTTGTTTTGTAATGCCATAGGTTATGTACCTTCTTCCGACTTTAACAAACTTAGGGCCGTTTTCTGGACTGCCTGTTAAAGATAACCGGTGCTTTGACTGCCAGGCAAATTTGTTGCTTACATGCCAAAAAACATGAAATCGATAAAAAGTCGATAAAGCACACCGGCCGCCAATTTTTTGCGGGCAGTCGAGTAATTTGTTTACTCTAAACGTATTTTTGCAAAGACAAATTTTTATACCCGAGCGCACTTTGTTCACATAACGGTTGCTTGTAACAAACAAAACGAATCGAGATAGATATAGACAAATCTATACCTAAACGATCAGAATGAAAAAATAAGTCCATGAAGGGGTGACTGTCTGTCCGTCCGCCCGTCTATAATTTATTGGAAAATGGGAGTAGCCACGAACTAAAATTACGGCCGCTTTTCACATAACGGTAAATTTCAGAAATGCTTGAAACTTCAATATTTCGAAATTTAAGGACGCTAATTTACACAAAATTGACACTAACTACATTCCCTGAAAAAGAAGTAATATTATTATGGAATTTTGAAAAATGGGCGTGATACCGCCCACATATAACTATGCAAGTTTATCGAAGATGTTTGACACAGAGATAAAACCAACGGTAGTTTTCGGATTGGTGAAAAAAAAACTATATTTAGTAATTGTAATGTTCGGCTCCACCCGAACTTAAACTTTTTTACTTGTTTTCATACGCTTTCGCAGTTCCTATTGCTTTTTCATTTCATCACGTCGATTATTGAGCTCATCCAAGGCGAATTTATACAAGGTTGTGTAAGTAGAATTGGTGAGGTCGGGATCGCAAAGGAGGGATCACCCATGCGGGATCTGCGGGATTTGCGGGACTACGGAAAAAAATCAAAAAGACGAATGCGAGTTGTGAACGTGCTCGCCAAAATGTTCGTCGTGCTTGGCTTTATAAAATATACATCATTTTATAACCCAGTACATAATTTCAGAAGTTAAAAGCCCTTCCGAAAGGCCTTCTGGAGACTCAAGAGGCCTTCCGCTCTACATTCCTTACTCCTTAATTTTTTGTGTGGACCTTCAATTGATGGCTTCTTCTTTTGCCAGATTAGCGTTGCCAAATTTCCCGTATTTTGCATTAAATTTGAAATGTTCCGCCGGGACAAGATTTTTCCCGTATTTTCGACAATTTAATTATTCTTTACAACCTGTAAAGTTCTACTCAACATGGTCTTGGTTTAACGCGGCTATTGTGAGCAGTGTTGCCGCGAAACATTTTTAGCGGTAGCTAAATTCAGGCTAAAAAAGGGCTAAAAAAGAGCTAAAAATCGTCGTTGTGGCTAAAAATGGTAGCTAAATTTTTTTACCTACATATAAATATATAAGTATATACGCAAACATTTTCTATAAGTAATGATATAGAAAGCAATGAACTCTGGAAATTAATATTTTATTCAACAAATAAACTTGTTGTGTAACACATAAAGCATATTAAGGGCCGCCAACTTACCTATTTTAAAGTATAGTTAAATCGTTAATGGATAAGATAACGGCCCATAAACGTAAAAAAAATACATATACATATGTATGTACAGTTTAAAAATTAATTTCTTACATAAACAAAAAAATGAGATCACATTAAGAATACATAAGTACTAGAATCATATCTATATACAGTGTCGGACAATACTAAATAACTTAAATAATTTCAAACTATGCTTCGAAAAATATCCATTTGTAAATTTTTAAAATGTTATGTTATAATTTACAAAGAATTAAAATGTCGGTGCTTTATTATTGACCGACGCTGTATGTATCAAACAAACAAAAGAGTATTCATTTAATGAACTCATAGTAAAATAATTTAATCTATAAAAATTTTTTTTAACACATTAAATATTTATATCTATATCAATACTATCATCGCTAAGCGACTCTTCGTCGTTACAATTTTGTTCATTTCTCATTAACCTGACGATATCATCTGTAAAATCAAAATCATGACAACATTTCTGTACATTTTTTAAGCCATAGTTAATAAAGCGTTTAACATTGCAAAATTCATTTTATTTCTGTGCTTATTTTTAACGAAATTTATTATAGAAAACGTCCTTTCAACTTCTGCGTTACTTAAAGGTAAAAGAAGCAACCGATAAACAAACTTTTTCCACCACTTAAGCTGGCGACACAATGAACAGTTTATTTGCCTTAAAGGAAAGGCGTT